TGAAGCCTGAAGGTTTCGTTGCATGCAACAAAAGGAGTCATGAACATTTACATAACTAGAAATATAATATTTTTATTCTTCGTAATAATTATCGTTATTGTTACTACATTATTTTATTACTAAAAGTTTATATTAAGATTAACACTTCCTCTGCGTTGGTCTCCTACCGAGAGGAAATGCCTATGGGTGTTGAATCAAATAAAGGTAGTAATTATTGTCTCTATTTTTACACAGAAGACTTACACATCATTCTTAATGTGTTTCTAATATGTAGATACTGATAATATAATGACTTCTAAATGCTGGTCACCCATCTCGTTTGTGGTTTTCTTCCAGTTATTTCGGTCCAGTACAGGGATTCGTAGAGCGAGTGTTGGCATAGCCCTGCGTTTGCTTCTGATCTCTAAATGTATGTCTAAATGTATTTACTTCGTGAATCATTACAGCCATTATAAATTGCCTTTTTGACGCAATAAGATAGTGTTGTTGAAACACTATAGATGAATTTATTATTGATGTATTGTACGTGAGATTCAATAATCCTACAAAACATTGTAAATTTAATTCCCCTCTTGATGCTTGTGGTACGCGCGTATGTAGTTTTCTGCAGGAGAGGGCATCTTTAAAATAATTTATTATATTTAGGCATTTTTAGGAGCCAGTGCGTATTAATGTATTTTGATATGTTTTTTTAATATCAATTTTTGTTTCTCGGGATTGTTCGTTCACTCTGGTCTTTTCAACATTTATTTTCAACTTGGTCCGTTCTACCCTCTGGGCAGACAGGAGTAAAACAGGTAGTGAGGAGCTGGCTAGTGGTCTCTCTTGCTAGCGGGTCCACTTCCATTGTGCGAAGTTTGTGAATGCGTTTTGTACTCCTTTGTGCTTCGTGAATACACTTTTACACTGGATTTCGATTTTTTTTTGCCAGAAATTGCTCCTTAAAAAGCTTTCCGCCGGTTGTGTATCTTTTAAAGTGGGGGCCATTGATGGGACGTCACAATATTGGATACACATTACAAAGGGTAATTGTGCCATTCTGCCGAAAGATGGTTTCGTAAAAAAGAAATACTCTGATTTCATGAACCGTTATTTCCGACGTACGGTGTTGTCGGCGGGGCGATTAAAAGGAAACATCTATTTTATGGCCACGTGGAGTTTTGGAATGGGCGACTGGGAAGAGACGGGTCATGAGGGTGGGAACTAGAAATGGTTGTTTCGGATATCATTTTTTTATTAGTAATTCGATAATACAAAACCTACGTAATAATTATTGTTTAGACGATATTTTTAAATTAAATATGATTTGAGATTAAAATATTCATACATTTGTTTTACTAATTTCTAATGTGCGCAGAAATTGAGAGAAAACTATGTATTCTACTATGATATGAGAGGTGTCTATGGTGTCGTTTATTACCCAGTAATCCTGGGAAAAAACCCATGAAACTTAGTTCATGTGACAGCAAGGTTTTAAGGAAGGGATCTCGTACCATGAAATATTTTATATTCACTAGCATTATTTGGGGCAAGCACTAGCTCCTGAAAATGCGTGAAAATAATAAATTATTTTAAAGATTCGCGCTGAAAATTACTGGCTCGTGTGTCACGGGCATCAAGGGGTGAATTAAATGTATAATGTTTGGTAGGATTATTGACGTTGATATTTATTACGTACAATACATCAGTATTAAATTGGAATGCAACTTTTTTTATTTTATTGCTACGTAAAGAACTGTGGTGTTGTACGTACTGTACATTACATTATGTTATTGCAATGCTCGAAGAAGTGGTTTTGTTAAACTATTTAAATTATTGCAGTTTTTTACGAGAGTATATTAATAGTTGCTTACGTGGTAGTTTTTGGAAAAGCATTTTGTGTTGTTTTGTTTAGCATTGTTTTTGCTACCTCTGGCCACTAGTCTATGCTTAAATGTGTATTTAATTTAGTCTTCTGAGTTTGTTTGCTATTCCATTAGGTATCTGCGAATAAAAATCTACATATAATTCATTTGCTGGGAACATGTTGTGCGATTGAACTTTGTAACCCATAGTATATTCAAATTATTAAAGAAATAGGGAATGAAGAAGAAGAAATTGCTTGTCATTCTTCGGCTGGTAGAACGGGAATTTAGCACAATTGGCGGAGAATGACAGTTTGGTTCACCAGAGTCAAAAATTCCAACATTCAAGAATTAAAAGAAAAAATAGTTTTCAAAAGTATTGATATTATTCTTTTAGCTCTAATAACACAAATGCCCGTAGGAATATATGGAGTGTTTATAAAGAATCCACCTCTTCCTGGAGGTTCCGTCACCAAACGCACATGGAGCGCGCGTGTGAGTGCAAAGGCTGAGGGCCAAATGCTCCTCGGAGGCCCTGGCGCACACGGGCGGACGGGCGGGCGGCGCGGCGCGGCGGTGTGAGATAACGTGCGATCAATATTGGGCCAACGCGTCCTGACGGCGGCGGCGGCAGCGAGATGGCTGGGCGGCTGGCGACGCCTCGCGTGGATGGGATCCCGCGAGAGTCTTGCCAGAGTTCAAGAAGGTTCGAAAGGATGAGAAAAGGTGGGGCAGGACTCGGTGTGGCTTGGTTCTGTTATTGTTGGAGCCTTGCAAAATGCTTGCAAGACGGTGACGCGCTGTGAGGAAATTTCGTCTTGCTCCCGTGCTACGAGTAGTGGAGCAAATGCGATTGCTGATTAAACGGATGGGAACCAAGGTGGATACCCGATGTGAGGGACGTCGTATATAATTTTTAGACTTGTTTCAAGTCACTTCAATAATTTTTTTTAATTCAATTTTTTATGCATTTTTTTTTTTTTGGAATTGACGAGTAGATGAGACGCTGAAAAATACTGAGCTCTACCTAACATATTATTGAAGAAAAATAAATTACTACTAACTATTACGAATTTTCCCCTAAAAACATAAAAGACAAATAAGAGCCCCTTTTATTTATTACCATCGAAATAATTGCTAATATTTTAAGTAAGAATTCAGAACAGTCCCTCGTAACTGAACGAGTACATGAAGATAGGAAAGTAGTTAGAAAAAATGTTCATTTATTATAATTCACTAAGTACATTTACGTAGAAATTAAATTTGATGAAATTACATTTTTCTAAAGTATTAAAAAGAAGCGTAAATCACTAGACATAGTTTAAAAACAAATTGCAGGACGAGACGTTTGAGTCGGCCACATAGCTGTATTCGTGATTTCAACTTCAATACCCCTAATGATGCAACGCAACAACATGCCACGTAGACGTCTGTGTATACGGCAAAGAATCGTAGCTGCAATTAAATTACTGAATGATTTGTTTCCAAGAAGGTCTTAATTTGTTAACACTAGTTTGGTAAATTATTCAGTGCCGTCTGTTGTCAGAATAAGTGAAATTTCGTAGTCTGAGTAAAAAAGTCAACCTATATACATTAAAATTAACAAATTAATATATATATAATATATATATATATATATATTATATATATAATATATATATATGATAGAAATGCTCAATAACAATTTTATCATAAAATAATTCTGTCCAAATTTCAATAGTTTCAAATAAATTTAATTTGTTTCAAGATAAGTTTCAAACTATAGATTAGAGTAATTAAATTTTATTAATAAATCATATGATTATTAAAATACGTATAACGACGTTCTACGTCACCTGCTAGTGATGCGAAAAAATCTTTGACCTTTACCATCATTCACTTTAGTGTGTTGTGTGAGTTAGCGTGCCATTTTTTTAAGGAAACCAAAGGGCAATAATAGGCGTTCGCACTACTGCAAGAGCGCTGTAATTGTTTGATTTGTTGAGGTGTCAAATATTCACTTCTTATTTGAATCCGTAAATCGTTGTATTTCTAGTTCGACTGGTTATTTCTTCTAAGCAGGACGTCTGAGTTATAGAGAGCGTTTCGGAGCATTACAGTTTCTTGGCTAGTGCTACAATACTTTTGAAGTGAAGGTCACCTAGCGACTCTCTGGAAGACTATTTATCAAACGATGCATCACAGGAACGTATCAGATGTGGTCGCCAAATTTTGTTACGTCATACAATTCAGGCTCAGCGTTGAACATGTGGTTACATGTTCGTTGTCTGATATTCTTTGAGAAAAACGTAGGATTATGTAAGAGGAAGAGAATTGAAAGGGGACGGTATAGTAAGACAGATGGGTCTGGGAGGAGAAATGACGATGTAACTCGAAACGAGGGTAGAAGCAGAATCACTTTCAGACAGATGAAGTTAGATTAAAGAGAGGAACGAACATATCAAAGAAGATCCGGGTTGAACGATATGGAGCAGCCAGCTTGGATAGAATTGATGTACAACAGGCGGTAAAACTGTAATAGTCTCTGGATGGCAGCGCATAAAACATAATTATCTTAGGAAACAACGTTTTGATAAAATAAGCCACAGAGATAGAAAGATGAGTAATTGCAGCATGTCAACCTCAAACTACTAGGAAAGAAGAATGATATTTAAATAGGAAATACTCAAAGAAATATTTCAAGCGATATGAGATGAGACAGCGTCGATCCTTACATACGCTTCCTGGTAGTTCAACGATTGGAAGTAACTTCTGCGTGTTGTCAGAAATCTATTTCGGCTGCTTTCGGAATAGTTTTTGAATTTTCTCAGAGCATGATATCCGATTAGTGCAAAGGATATAAAATTCCGGCGAAGGAAATGCAAGGTTCTACATTCTCAAATCCCAAGGACATTGTTGCTTTACTTGAACTGGAAAACCTTAATTCATTTTTAAGTACTGGAATGTTGAGGATTAGAAATAAATGTAAACTGTTCTTTGAAGGACGATGTAATAATTAGGAATCTATTGTTGATGTATCTAGGAAATCCTGTTTTTCTGTTAGTCATGCAAAAGACCAAACTTGATGCCTTCAGCTTTTCCATAAAGACTTGTAGACTTTGTTATTGTTTATGTCGTTGAAAAGGTCAACTGCGTTACACATTTACGTACGGTAATGAATTTTGTAAGAGAGTAAAGCTGACCTACATTCCGGCAGCAATCCTTTGTGCTGACGTTCTGACATAAAGCAAGGATGTTTTCACGTTGTCTTTGCCGTGAGGTAAGTGAAGGCAAAACCGTGTAATGGTCGTTTAATAATCTTAGCCAGGTCTGTTCAGTGAGCTGGATTTTAGGTAGCGTGATTCGAAAAACGCCGGAGCCATTTCATCTCCTCGCCCCTTTCTCTTTCTTCTTCTTCTCTGTGGGCGGCCCAGAGCGCCGCATTGAAATCGCGATTTACGTTGCGATTCCAAAAGCGCTCCCTGATTTCCTGAAAACAAGCTGAGATTGCACTGTAAAGTTACTCCAAGTTATCAGTTCTCTCTTCACTGCTAGCATCCCGCTAGTACTGCGAAAAGTGTAAGAAGAAGAGAGTACGACAGTCCCCTGTGCGTCGGGTGCGTCCGTGCTCAGCAACCGCCCCGCGGATCGAAGGGACTGACTCAGCGCTCAGGAGTGCGACCGCGCGCAAAGAGGTCACGTGCTCCGCGGGGTGGACGCTCCGGAAATCCGAATGACGCGGCTTCAAGAATACCTGCATTCCATGCAGTGGCTCGATTGGCAGAAAGACACGAGTGTTATTGTTGAGTGAAAGTTGTAGAACTGCTGAAATGATAGGAACTCAAAATATTTAAGTAAAAGGTTATCCCTGATTAATATGAACGGTCTCTGTAACGAGCGTGTTGAAGGAACATTAATGTGATCGCATGCGCTGCCTTTTGTGTGAATTAACAAAAAAATGTTTGCTGGATGTTCAGAAACAAAGATGAGATTTTTCATGTTATTCTTTTGCAACCGCCTATGTACAAATTGTTCTTTTTATTAATTTCTCTTGTATTATTTCCTTTGAACTCTAGTTATCTTGAAGTTTCTTGAATCCAAACCCTAACAGAGCCTATTATTCTTAAATATACGTGGTTCTCCAAGTCATAAATATAAAAAATTACAACTCACTCCGAAAAAATGAAATGGATCATAGGAGTAATATGCTATAATCTATTCTAATTTTATCTGTATCTGCATCCGTAATCTTCCTATCTGTTTACTGCAGATGGCAGGAAGAATAATTTTGGAATGATTTTCACAAACACTTAGATTCGACAAATTTTCTAATTAACATGATCTTTGGTCGCGTGAATTTGACACTCTCAACATCTCCGATAATGTATATTCGACAGAACTTTTTGTCTTACGAATCTAGAATTCATTTAAAAGAAAAAACAGGATACCTAAAGAATATGAAAAAATGGGCGGGATCGTATTACTAAACTAGAGAAGATTCAAGAATAAATAAATTTGCGAGTTCAGAGTTAGAAGTGAAAAAAAATTGCTGTACATATTTTTCTGTGACAGAACAAACTGGTCAGCATAGAGTAAAATTAATCGTAACTAAAATTATATAATACATTCTCGAATTGAAAATGTTCATAGTTTAATAGCTGACGTTAGTAGGAATTTTTAATATTTTTTTTTAATTCTAGGGCTTTATCTAGCCAAGACCCGGTTACCCTTTTCGTCCCGATATAAATCATATTCGAACATACACTAGATACCAAATCACATGCGGACTCCTCTCATCTGGGGTCAACAAAACGCGAGACTCTCGGCGACAACACATACACGAGAGGGAAGAGTTAAACAACCATGCTGAAGGAGGGAAGCGTACCCGCGACCCCTCAGACCGGAGTACAGATTCGATCCGACACTATTAGCCACCTCGGCCAATTAGGAAATTCTCATATAATAAAAAACTGTATACGACATTTTAAACTAATAAATATGTGCATGTAAGTTAATAAGCAAGACAGCCATGCACGCTGTCAAATACTGCCTACCAGCCCCACACTTACCACTAAGACAGGACATTGCTCCGTTGGAGAGTGGGTCAGGGCCTGAGGCACCGAGGTGTTTGGGGTGGTGGCGGCGAGGGTAAGCTGGTGACTCACCGCTTCGATTCGCGCGCCCTCGCACCGCCATCACCACCGCCGCGCCGACGCTGCCGCGCCCATCGACGCTTTTAGCCTTCGATCACCGCGGGATAACATTCCGATCTAACTACGCTCATGCATACGCCCACACGCCGCGAAATTGCCCCTTGCGCGTTGCACGCATGCCAAGCGACACGCCGAGAAGATTGCTTGTTGGCTTGTTAATGTTCCTGTTATGACACTTAGTCACGTAGTGGATATTTCTGGGTTGGAGTTGTAAATGTTTAAATTTTAAGAATGGTATGATTAACGGTAAATCAATCATTTTGATCTTTTCAAGTAATTTTCAAAGTGTCTTGCGTTTTCCGTATTTCCGTGATTGCAAGAAGTGCAGTGTACAATAATTGATGTTTATTTATGTGTCTTGATTTCGATGCCCTGGGTGACGAGCAGTTTTCGGAAAGTACGGAAAATTGTAATTATAATTTGTGAAAAGTTATTAGAATGTATGGAGTGTATATTTTGTATACCAAGATTGAGAATCAGTAGTTGGTGAGAGCAGAGAGATTAATAAGTATGACTCGTACGTATGGGAAAGTATTATCTAGATAACGGAATTCAAATAAATGGACACAGTTCGAAGAATCGAGAAGTTGAAGGAAGGCCATCTTCATGTTACCTAGTGGCTGGGATAAGTCTCATAAACATTAAGTTGTTGGTAGTGAATTGAGTGCCGATTTGAAGAATAATTCTGTGAGGAAAGTATATATAAAACTTTGGCCTTCACAAATTGCCTCACCTACATTTACGTTAAATTTATATTCAATTAATACGATTTTTTGTAGTAAATTTAATTTTAAAAAATTGTGACGTTTTATTAAATTTTATATAGACACATTTTCAATGTGTCTTTTCCTTGCATAAGTAAATAATGCATGACAATATTTCCACTCTCATAATTATTATTATCTCTTGTATTAGGTTCTGGAATCATTCGCAGGTTAAGAAATTATAAAGCCATTCTTTCATAAATATAGGATACTTTTATATAAAAAAGCAACGACGTATAGGAATGAAGTGATTCTTCTTTTGAGCTCACATCAAGTACGATGTGAGCTCAAGTAGAAGATTACTCAACACAGATAACTTATTACCTTCTTTGTTAAACTAATGCCAACGTCACACTAGGAAGACGATGAACAAAAGCTGACATGGTGTCGACATCGTATCAACAACAATGAAAGCGAAGCTCTGAAGGGCGGCAACTTTCGCCTCCTGTGGATACGGAGGGCCAGCATTTCAACACCTCGTGCAAGAGATCGAAATGAATCGCGTCCTTTTGAGTACTAGAAGTTCTGCATGCGGCGTACCGCCCCACACCCATGCACGAGCCCGACTCACGCACCCAGACCGTTAGTGTCGCCAAAACACAAGGCCGGCGTAAGTTATCCCTGAAATAAATGCCTATTGTCCTTTGTGGCTATTGCACTGTGGGGAAATATAGCCTCAAACGCTGTTGTGACTGGGCTGCCTCACTGTCTCGGAGTAAAACTGTTCGTGATCTTTGGAACACGTAATTGATTATGCGTATTTTTTTTCCTTTGATGTCTTCCTCTCCTGTGGGTGAAAGTTGATGCATTCATCCTGTGTATTTCTTCATTATTAAAGGAAATATTTCACCTACAGCGATTGTGTTTCTACTGGCGTTTCTTTCATTACTTTTTGACTACCCAAAGTGGCAGGAAGTGTTTGAATACTCTGAGTTCCATATCATTAGCAATATTTAGCGACGTTAATTTTGAAATTATCATTCCATGTAATGTAGATTTTATGAACCAATCTTCCACTATCGACCGTGACGGTGATCTGCCTGTAGATATATTACACATCACATTTGCATGATATGTGATTCAGAACTGCATGATTATAGACCTTGCAACGTATTCTTAAACTTTGCGGAGTAGAATGCGCATTTTGTTTAAAAACACGTAATAAGTAGAATTCGTTCAGAGAGGATTCGTGTTCTGTAGAATATGCGTTCGGGCGAACACGACCGGTTACGACCGAATACTTCAGTCACTAATACGCACTGCGGTTCGTCACTCACTTGAACGCACGTCCAAAGCGTCCGAACTGTGCCATTCAACATGGACAAAGAAAAACTTGATTAAATCAAAATCAGTTGTTTCCGGGGTTGAAGGCCGTGGTCCAATGGAGACTTGTCCACAAGGACAAGTCTCCATTGGACCACGGCCTTCAACCCCGGAAACAACTGATTTCGATGTGGAAACCGGCCGTGAAAGCCTACATTGTATACAAACTTGATTGTTTAATTCATAAACAGGAAGCCTTGTGGAAGATCTTACATCCATTTCTACGAAATGTTTATTCTAGGAAATTGAAGAAGAAATTGATGAAAGTATTGTTGATAGTTTCTGCCACACATGGCCCTAATATTACTAATCGAATAGGAATGTGATGTTACCTTTTCAAACATATCTCTCATACAATCTCATTATCAATGTAGCTATGAATGAGGAATTTTAATATTTTCGATTCCATTCTTTCCGTCTATATATAATTATTTGAAGGTTCAAGTTGATTTCCTAGACTGTCTATTTAAAACTTCACTAACGAGAATCGTTCAGGAATTATTATATACACTTTATTTTTCTTTTCATATTTATTATTATGAACCTATTACAGCCAACGTTTTGTGACCCTACACAAATAAATCTAAAAGAATAATAAATTGAATGTCTATAATAATTCCCGGACCAATCTCCTAAATTAAAATATTTGAAAATACATGTTTGATGTAGTCGAATGCAGAGTGGCCTCTACTGTCGATCGTTCGCTACAGAACTTTTAATCGGCCAACACTGATCCACTGTCAACATAACTTAAAATTCCTGCTCTCCACCGAGGGCTCTTCCAGAAAATTATATGTGGGTTCTCGCACTTTCGTCCTGGGTTCGCATCCACTTGGCCTTCTCGGGGCGGCAGATCAATACACCATCCATGTGGGCGAGGCCCCGGGCACTGCAGAACTGGCCAGCGCTTGCAGTCGGGAGGTCCCCTTTAAGCGCCCCGCCATTTCCCGCGCGGCGCCACCCCGCACCGGCCGCCGCCTCTCCGTCCGCACCCACGCTCTACCCCGCCAGAGTCAGCCGCGCGCCGCTCTTTGTCACCGGTTCCCGTCGGGTGGGCGGGACGCCGGGGGTGTGCCGCGCGCAGACGTCGGAGGTGGCGGGGAGGAGGAGGCGACGGCAGCCTGCTTCTCGATTCAATTAGGCACTGATGTTTATTAACCTCGTGACACACCCTCTCTTCTGCGTCCCTCCCTGCACGGGGCGTAGTGTCTTGCGAAGTGCTGCAAGGGGAGGACCTTGGGGTACACCAACTCCGGGTGCAATGGCCACAATTTCGATTCTAGCATATCAAGTATTTTATGTTCGCTAGCAGGACGTAATATTATTACATGGCGTATTATTTGCGATCTAATATCTTATTATTGGTACGAAAATGAAGGCAGTAAAATAAGTGAGTAAGATATTATATGTGAAGCAGATAATTGCTCCCTAATATGAGAAAAAGGCAATCGCTGGAATTGGTAATGCATCTCCTCTGTGTAATCAAACGTTCAATGAATTACTTAATTCAAAACTAAAACTACAAAACTAAAAATGAAATTCTTAATAAGAATCACTGTAAAATCAGATTTTAAATGTCAGAGAGAGTACATTTCAACAATCCCACAATCACTGCAGGAATGGAATGAAGCAATAAATCAAATCTTTATTGCTCAGTTTTAAACAATTTTTATGATATTTATATTGTTTTTCCATTATATATTACATTACTGTACATTTAATTTCGAAGATTGTCCTGTTATAACCCACATGTCACCCAAAGGAAGAGGCTGGCTTAGGAGTAGCAATTAGGATGTGGTGCCGTGGTCGAAATCGTCTTCGTTTCGGGCTTCCATCGTCTGAAGCGGCCTCCCTGGACGGGTGGCGATGCATTACCGGCCGAGTGGTAATTTACTGCGAACGTTAATGGTTGCTTTCTCGTAAACGGGAATATATTCACCGGCAGCGAGTGCCGCGCTTGTGGGAGAAACGTTTCTGGTTGCTGTGGAGATAATGAAGAGGTGCAAGGGAATAGCACTGTAATGACTTTCTCCGGCCGTAGAGAACACGCATTCCTCCGGAGAGACGTGCCATATCGCTTCCAAATTAGAAGTCATGTTTCTTGGTTGTTTAGTTCTATCTACGCCTAATCTGTTTTAACTGCTTTATTCTCGAAGACGTTAAGTTAATCAGGTTTAGATGTATGATCTTTACGGCAAAATTTCGTTTACTAATATTACGTAATATTACAAAATTACGTAATACTAATAATTCGTATACTTTCGTTATTAAAAATACATTTTTATGGTGTTATACTTTGAAATATGTCAATATGGCTAGGAACATGTTTTATACTTGGTATGTAAATACATTACTGAACATCACAGAGAGCTTGGCATGCTTTGAGTAAATAATTGGTAATTCGCATAATTTTAATCGATTATTTTACATATGAAATTTTGTGAGAAGGAAACCAAAACAGCTTTACGTTTCCTGCTTGGCTTAAAATACATGAATTAGAACATTTTTAATGAGTGCATTTTCAGTTCATACATATATAGGTACATTGTAACATTGTATTGGCGTGTTTATCCTACATTCTATTCTCACTCATTTTGTTTTACATGTGGCATTCACTGTTAGGGCAAGAGCTTTTCACCTCCCCGTTGAAATTGTGGACAAAACTCAATGTAAAGATAGGGTCGCTTGTTTCACCCGGTGACGGCTTTTAATTGTTAAATTCCGCGAAGTACCTTCCGCCACCATATGGCACGCGAAAATTGACGCGTTTTTAGAAATACAAAATAGTTGGGAATCAAATATTTCTAATGATACATTGAAAAAAACACCCACCTACATGCAAACATGATATTTTCCACGTCGCGCGCCTACTTATGTATCGTCAGCCCACACCTATCCGACGTATTGTCTTCATGCGCAGACGTAAGAGATAAGCAAGATAAAGCGCGCCACAGAGGCCCACTATCCTATATGGGAGCTGAAAGCTCTGGCTGGACTATCCCTTAGAACGGAATTCAAGCTGTGCCAGTTCATGTCGGAATTTAAAAGAGCCGCAGTGCGGCCGTGGTGTCCTTCTGCCGCTGCTTCGATCGACTCTGCACCGTGGAAGGACGGAGGCCAAGCGAGGAGAGAGGGCGACGGCGATAGAAGAAACTCAGAAATGGAGGAGATTGGGATGAGACTTGCATCAGCTACAACAGTCGTGCGGAATGTTGAAATAATAATGTTAATTAGTGATGTAAAATGCAATGAAGTGATTGCGTTGCCGGGGATGCAACAGCAGAATTTCACGTGTAGGAATAGAGATTGCGTATAACTCTATGAGTGGCTGAATTGTTGTAAGCAGAAGCAGCTGTAAGGACACAAACTATTGATCATAAATCTGCCAAATCGGAGAAGGCTTTTAAGCTAAGAGCGACAATGGTAGTGTAATAATGGAGACATAGACTCGCTGTTTTTCTTACTGCTCCATTCCACGATATCAATGACGGTTTGTGGAGAAAACGGTAATCTGAGGGATGGGAACATCAGAAGGTAAAGGAGTCCTCATGGATTTAGTGACATCTGAATGCAAAAAGCCCGAAACCCTTTTTACGGCAGACCTTAATAAGTACAAATTTTACTGAAATTGCAAAGGCTGTCATAATTAATAAATATAATGTTCGAGGATTTCTGAATGACATTTTTTGACTTTTGACTAAAAATTACCTATACTTTCTGAAGACAGGTAATTAATTTCTGGATTTACTGGATTGTGGTTACGTTTCATGCTCACGTGCTACGTTTTTGTGTCGTTCTTACAAGTGTGCAAAAATCCATTTGGTGGTGACAAAGGGGGATGAACTTTCATATGCAGTGATGAATTTGGAGTCAAGTTACACCTCACCGCCGGTCGAGCGCGTCGGCGCAACGGGCTGCGGAGGACGCAGTATGCTGGCGACGGCGGAAAACGCAAGGCATCCGAGCGTCGGCGAGGGCGAGGGCGAGGAGGAGGGGCACTGATGGCGCCAGCGCGGCGGCTGGCGAAGTGCGTGCGCGTCCTGAGCTACGACCCCCGCGAGGCTCGTTCCCGCCCCTCGGCGTCTCGTGTCTGCGTCGCGTTGCGGCGTCTTGGACCGGCCGCGACCTCCTCAGTGACCCCTCGGGCGTCGTAGAGTGACGTCTTACCACGCGCTTTTTAATTTTTATCTGACCCTGAACCCACAGGCTACTCGAATCGCCCGCCCCCCTCCGCCCCCATATGCGGTTGAATGACTTCATTCATCTTGCCTGTATTGGTCATCCACGATGCTCCTTCTCTTTTTGTCTTTATGTTTCTTGGTATGTACAATTTTCTTACTGGATATTGAGTGTTGAAACTTGTTGCTGATGAATCGTTTGCAGCTTGTGCCGGGATTTCTGTTTAATGAAGTTTTGTGACACCTCTCTTCTCATTATTTAATTCTATGACAAGCCATGTTGGTCTAGATAAATGAAGTTTCGTCACACTATACACACTTCATTTACTTGCAGACAATTGCCAAGCGCTTTCTCGTCATGTATTATTTCGCGTGTATGTATTTCGTGTTTTCACGGCTGTGCCTTTTTTTAACCTTCCTCTTTACTCCACCAGAGCGTCACTACGTGTAATTATGTTCCCCGATCCTCTTGTCGCGTTGCTCTTTGTTCTCCACCCCGCTTCGCCCTCCTCTCTCCTTGTGACTGACCTTGCGCTCTTTCGGAGCGGCGCAAACTCGCTTAATTGCGGGGTCCGTTTCTCCGCAACTTGTGTTTTTGTACGGGAAAATTAGGTTGCGCCCCTCCCCCTCTGCTCCTCCCCCGCGCGGGCGAAGGAATTGGATTACCTTTCCGGAAATTGCATCAGTGTTACGCGCTTCGCGAGCGGGACGTCCGCGCGCACCGGAGGTCGCGGATTGTCACATCTCCGTAGCCCGCACGGCGCCAGAAGCGTGCAAATAAGCCTGGTACGCGGTGCGCTGCAATATTAATTAGGGGGAATTGAACGCTGCGGGGAATTTTTTTAGCGGTGTTGAGTTTTGGAGAAGTGTCTACTATATGTTGGAATACGTTGCGTTATTATTAATCATAATAGCATTAATGAAGAATTGCAAGGAGCTGTATATAAACTTCACAAACCTGGTGAAAATGAGTATAATCTCCAAATATCTAAAAAGAAGACTAAGGTTATGGCCCATTATGTTAAATACCCCGTTGGCTCAAAAATAATAATTGACAACACAGTGACTGATCAAATTCCCACTTTTAATTACCTTGGTTGCGATATCAGTTATGACTTGGACAAAGACATAAAAATAAAACAAATAGATTTCAATGCGTGAAATAATAAACAAACCTCTTTAGAATAAATCAAGAAAAGAAAAAAAGATATTTTATAAGACAATGGCTGCTCTAATTCACCTGTATGAAAGCGAATCATAGATAATGAAAAAGAGAGATAACAGCAAAATTCTAGCAGCAGAAAAAAGATTTCTCGGGAAAATTAAAGGCTGCTTAAATTAAGACCATATAAAAAACGAAGATGGCCTTCAAATGCAAGTGAAGAGGGAACAGACATTAATGCCTTATCTTTGAAAGGAAGAAGAAAATTATTAATCTCATTAACTTATCATTGTCTTCTGTTTCGGGACTTACCAGAATATTAAAATGTGGTCATTGCCTATTTTTTCCCTTTATGAATTAACAAGCAACATGTAAAGACAATATAATTAATTTCTTTACTTATTTAACATAATTTACAGACATTACACTTCTAATAAGTTTACACACGAGTTGCAACGTTTTCAATCATAGTCTTGCCAATGGTTCTACAAATTTCGCTTCAAAAATATCCGAAACTTTGAAAAAAGGACTTTACAACATATGTCAACTAATTGGATGTATAATGTTTGTAATTGTGGCAGCATATGTAAATTAATTTGAAGTGCAATGTCTATATGTGGCTTACTAATTGACTGATCTGGGTATATTATGTATTATAATTAATATTTATTTTTTTGGATTAAGTGTCATGATAGTATATTCTAAGAATATTCTATGAGTGTTCGATAGACGATCATGGGATATTTTTAATGTTCGGGAGCTTTCTTCGTGCAAAATTCAATGAAATTGAATTGTTTGCAATGAATGCAAAAATAAGAGAACAAGGAATGAGAGAATTCCCTGTATAGTAGGTAATAAATTTGTAATCATTTAGGGAATGAAAATGAAGCTACGAAACATTTCGAGAAAGTAAAAGAGTATGTGCACAAATTGTTCTACTATTTCTACAATTTTTACTGTCTGGGATTTTATAATATTTTCAATAGTGATATTTATTTCAGGAATTGCTAAATATTGTAAAAATAATTTGAATACCCTATTTCTGTTACGGAGGAAAGAATGCGGTAATAATCCATCATACCTTCTCACGAGTTTAGATACTCTAAAGATGAAACAATGTATAATTCATTTGTATTAGTGTAGTAATTACATGTGTTCATTGCACCTGATTTCAAATTGCACTGGATATCCGAAATAAATTTTATATAAAACCAGTCAGTGTTTCTGATAACTAAATTCTGTAAACGGTTCCATTCCATATTTATTTATCGATAGTGATTGAGTGCAGGCAATAAGGACTTATCAGAGTTACACTTACATTTTACTGTTTGTATTTAATGGAAATTAGCGCGCGGAAAATGTACATCAAATCATGTCTGTTGATTAGAGAATATTTCAATACATAAATTATTTGCAAGAGTTGAAATAATTGATGACACCGTTAGAGTAAGTAAGTACGCAACACAGAGATTACATTAAGTTCTCATACAAATTACATAATACGGATATAAACAATTGAATGGCAACACGTATGGAAAACTGTTTCTTTACTTCGTTCTCCGCATCGCAACTCCGAACATTTTGCACGTGTCCTGGCGCCGCCGGCCACTGAGCTGTCACTGGCGAACGCCGGTGCGGCACGCCCTCTTCAGTCTCCCTCTGAGGATATCGGATTTATTATTTTAAACTTTTCCAATTTTGCGCCTAAACCCCTGCTAGCGCTATGGCTCCCACAGCGTGAGGCATTCCATTACTTATGTATACAGCCCGTGCGGCGGGGGTTTAGCGGAAATCTGAATTAGGGCGGCGCCGGCGCCGGTGCCGGAGGCAGGAGCGCGAGGGTAGGGGCGGGTCTGTTTGATGGAAGAGAGACAGCCGACGGCGGACGTGGGCGGAGGCGGACCGGTGGAAACGGATTGAGCTGGAGGAGAGGGTGCGAATGTTGGGGATGACTGAGTTGAGCAGTTCTCGTTGTGAACGTAGTCTTCTTTCGGAATTGTATTTAAACTTTGGAATTATGAGATGTCGAGAACGAAATGGTCTTTAGAATTTCTGTGTGAAAAGAATACAAATGATTTTGTGTTAAAATATTCTAACAGTGAGGAAGAAGGACGTGTTTGTTTCAGATTAGATTAACAAGAGAACTCGGACATTGAATTTCTTCGCAATATAGAGGCCACTAAGAGAATATTCGAGTTTTTAAAACGTTTAATAAATTTCGACCTTTCAAATTTCCAGTACTTTCTTTTCTTCTTGCACCATACATCATAACTTGTTTAAAGTCACTGATCTGTGAATCAAATGCCGAAACAAAGCGAGAAATATTTTTTGTTACAATTGTGGCAGGAGAAGGAAATTCTTAAAAAGAAGACGTTCTGGGTACTTCATAAGAGATTGTGATGAATCGGTTTGTTCATTTCAAATGCCTCATTCAGTGATAAAGACCGAATATATTTTTTAAGTGGTGGGAAATGCAAACTTTTGTTTTTATCCCAGAAATAACCCACAAATATTAAAAGAAAAAGAAAGAGAACGAAATGAATCATTGAAGCGGGCGTTAACAGTGAATCAAATACTGTGATCATGACCCCCAGTTAGTTAAAATTGGACTATTAACTGGAGAGTTGCATTGAAATTATACTATATTTGATCGGAGATACAGACTCTCAAGTCACCTCGTATGTCATGTTGTTGGGTGGATGACAATGATTCTCATACGAATATCGACTTCACTGACAAATAAACCCCTTAAAAAGTGATCACAAATATTCATGACCTTACTCCTAACTAGTTATTCAATTATTTTAAAAATTCAGCTCGGATCAAACACAATAGTTCGAATGTAGTATAGTGTCACAGAGGCGTATATAATAATCGAACTAACAATATGTGCTTCAAAGTAATAGTAAAATCTGCATCCAGAGTAGCCGCGCATACATGGTTTTACTAACAATTAGATTTAATTCAGACAGGATGAAAGAAGAAAACAGGCTAGGTAAAGCAAAAACAGTGCTGATCCAAAACGTGGGTGGCTGTGCAGGATGGAGCGATGTGGGGAGACGTGCGGTGCAATGGGGTGGGTGGGGAAGGGAGAAGGAGGGGGGATGGATGGAAATATTCAACTAGAGAGGAAGTTGAAGCCATCGCACTTCCTGCCGTGGGGAACATCGAATATCGCTGGCGCTAGCTGTGTTTTTCCGGCCACAGTTTCCACGCAAAGTTTGTTGTGCCTTTGAAGGTGCCAGCATGTAGGAGACGGCCAGCGCAATTGCGTAGCATCTTTCTGCGTCAAAACATCGTGTGACTCCCCTGCCATAAAATGCTTCTACAAAATTTTTTTACAGCTATTCGACACTCCCCAGGGAGACTACTTTTATACACTTCAAACAATCGAATTGAGAAACTTATGAACTAATGACATCCTTTCATCGTGCATTGGAATCGATGTTTATTTCATGAGAATAGATATTTTGTGCTATACACAAAGAGCCTGTTCTTGATCTCCTAATGAACCTATTTCTTGGTGGCAATAATAAATGATAAACAATATTCCGGAAGGGTTTACGAGCCGAAGTAAAGGGTATTCCCACCAACAGATCCATTTCTTAATTATTTTCGCAACTTCGTATTTTATCTTTGTCAAGAAAGTCAATGGGTTTTGTCTTTCTTTATTGACAATTATACTCTTGTTGATACTTTTTTTACCTGAGAATTTCAAAGCACAAGTGGTATTTAATAGGACTATTCCACGAGTGAAATTATGTTCAACAAAGTTCCAAAATGCGCTAAATATTACAAATTACTAAAAGCTATGTTGAAATGAAAGATGTGTTATAGTACATACGCTATGTATTGGACATCAACATAGCGATCGAGGTACACCGCCTCCCAAGATGAGTCACAGTTTATGATTAGCGAGCAGGTAGAAGTGGTAAGAAAATTCGGATAGAAAAAGCGATAATCTTTTTGAGTTACGCTATCTTGATTGGGGCATTTTGTATTATAGTTAAGCACTATTAGTTTTCATTTGACGAATGGAATAGTGAGATGTAATATTCTTCATTGATGGGATTGTGTAACTTATGGCATTTGATGTAGATAGCACCGAACGTACGATATCCTTCGCCTTAAAACTATATTAACATTGGCCTTGTTTCTCCTCTCACCCTTACATGGGATCATCCCCACGTCGCCACACAATGTCTCTAATTTTTCTTTACCGCTCTCCCTTCAGTTGTTGATGCAATTTCGCTCGTCACCGCCACCGCCAAATTACCTCTTTGTCTGCCAGACGACTCCCATAGCCGTCCGGGGCGATGACTTCTCCTTGCCGGAGCTCCGGCGAGGGGGAAGGCGGTGTCCCTTACAGGGGTGACAGAAGCTTCGGCCCCCTCCGTGGTCGTGCGTCCGCTTTAGGGCGGTGCTGCGATGGCACAACTGCTTCCGCAAGAACCACACTATGAGGTGGGGGAGAGGGAGAAGGGAGAACTATGAACAGTGTGGCTGGAGGCCACGGACGCGCTCTAGTGGTGAGGTTGGAGGGTCATGAGAGGATCGCTTGAGTGGGAAGGTTGGAAGGGAAATGTCAGAGAACCGTGAGCACGAGAAATAATATTCGAGTAGATACCTCCGTCAGCCTTTCTTAGCTGCTGTGGGTGGTCTTTGCGATGAGTACGTCACTTGGTACAGTCCGTGAAGAGGCGAGATTTATGGCGTCATGAGCGGTATAACAATGCTGTGCAGAGGACGTTCACTAATTTGGATGAATAGATAGCCATAACCTCAGCACTTGGTTTTCATAATTATGTGGGCAGATATGTGTGTAGAAATACAAAAGCCTTATCCTTGCATTAGTTGAAGCGGAAAGCGACGTTTGCGATATACCATGTTATTTCTGTCAAGTATTCTTGATAAGACTCGATAGTTTGTCATTTAATTTATCTGAAAATAGGACATTGCCGTCGCACATGAACATGGTGGTATGTGTGGGCGATCGTAAGAATCAGTGTTAATGAACTGAATATTACGATAACCAAATTTTGCGCTTCTCTGCAATGTAGTCTTGAGTCCTGCAATGCAATTCCTTAGTTGTCCACGTCTTGCGTGATTAAATGAAACATGTAGGAAACGACTTGCAGTTACTAATCTAACAGAGAACTACTGACAAGAGGATCGTAACGTAAGAGTATTTAACATGCAGTATGATCCTTATGAAAAACTTGGAGTCCACTCGGATATTAGATTTTTAATGCATATGTAAAGCAATATCATTTGACCCCAATCACCTTATTGCTTCGCACTTCAGTGATAAAAAGTTAGAACGCGAAGAAATTATAAAATTAAGTTGAATTTAATGGGTTTGATAAAAATAAGTTTGCTGGATAGCGTAACCTTGTGTAGACTAACAAAGGTAACTATTTTCGGATTAGAAGAATTAAATGTAAATATAATACGCAAAAATGTAGAGAATTAAAGAGTGAAGTTAAAAACAACACAATAAAAACAAGTTCGATTGATGGAAAAATAAAGAATGTATTAATAATTACCCATACCATGAATACTTACTTTCCATTTTCCTCTGATCCACTACATTTGTATAGTGAAGAGCTTGTTAGCTACAAAATATTTCATCGTAATGCATTTCAATTCTTGTGTATCCTCCTGTTAACAACACAGAAGCGTGTGTAATGCCGGCAACCGGATCTCGTTTCTAGTCATTCTCGATGTAACTCTTAAGAGTCAAGCGCAAGCAAGGGATTGGACATCGCTTCTTCCTTTCTCACTACACATCCTTTGTCTTCCGGTTTCATGTTTCTCCTCAGGAAGCGCTACAGTTGTACGCGGTTAGCGACAGCGGTACGGCCTTGCGTGATTACTACTCCCTTCACATCCACTGTCAGTCGCAAAAACAACAATAATAACCAGAATAAAATACAGTAGAAGTAACAATTCCCAATAATAATTGCACTATTGTGCGGTGGTCAGTTCCGCGTGCCGACCGGCTTAGGGAGCTCAACTGATGTCAGAGCAGTGCCTCTGACTAGAGGAAGCTACCGATCATAGCAGCCGCCCGATAGAATTCTCCTCGAGAAAGCGGTTTGAGTTGTATTGGACTTTGCTACCTAGCGAGTGTCAATAATCCTGCGACCATCGGAACTCGAACCTTAGGACCTCGCGGCCCGAGGCACTGCAGTGACGTCAATTGACGCTCTGACCCGGTGGAGCGGTGTGGAGTTGGGGGGGGGAGGAGTGCCGCGCGAGAAGCTCTGCTCGTGTAGCTCCAGAGAAAGTGCGCGTGGATTGGTGGCCGCAGGCTGCGGCAGCAGGCGCTTTTAAGCAACTGCTTTCCCCACCCTGTCACACACTTCAGTCTAGACGCCACCTTCTCAGAACAACGTTTACGCAGCTGGAAAAAGGGTTTCCTAAATTCTCTCTAATGATACACTTTTCGCAGTTTCAACCAATTATTCTGATGGTTACTACATGTTTAGTAAAACATAGTATGTTGGTGAGGTAATTCATGTATTGATGTCAAAGCAGGCAAAGAATAAATTAGTAAGATTGTGTCATATCCAATAAACTAAAATGCTCTCAAAAAGTATTCTTCACAAAGTTATTTCAGAGATGATAAAATGAGGAGTCGAAGATAACCTTGACAAGAAGCATCACTGCCCGTCGCTCATTGCAATAACGAATAATCTGCAATGGAAGATACGATACAAACTGCTTTATTGTAGTTCTTGTTTCTGAATTAATACTTCTGCAAGTTTATTACGGATTGCTGGTCAACCACTACTATCCTTTTAAAGTCACTTTTCCGTTTCTGCCAAAGGAAGAACGGTCCACTCTCCATTCTTTTTTTCGGAGCGCCACTCCAACGAAACGCGTTGCTTGAGAAAACATCTCACTCAGGAAACGGTGGCTGCCTTCACGTTCTCCTCCGCCCCTGCCTTCATTTCTCCCTTTTGCTTTCATTGGGCGTGTCCGCTTGGGAGTTCCCTTGCTTACGGAATAGTTAAATCTCACTGTAAATGCCCAATGTAGGTTCGTGATGGGCCGCACTTTAGAAGGTGTCATCAAGGTACTTGGTATATTTTGCAATATAGTGTGTTAATTGCAAATATACACTAGTACACTGAAACGGATCGGACACACTTAATTAAATATCCAATCATTTTTCTACATACCGAACGATTGATATATGTAATTATTTAAGTTATTTATTATATTTCAGAATCGGGCACTTCGTAGAATGTGACTTCGTAATTTGTATATTCAGCCGGGTTATTATTTTATTAGTGAATTTCAGTCGTTTTTCTTAATTCATACGTAACTAAAATAATACAAGGATTTTCACAAGAACATACAATTTATGTTCGTTTTTTTAGACTGAGAATTGCAAGACAGAACCAATTTTGGAATACTAATTGATAATTAAATCATATTTATTTTGAAAACAGTGATCAGTATACGCAACTGAACCTTTCTCTCTAACACTTAAAATTAAATATAACGTTGGCGAGAGGAATTTTAAACATTGCGCACTACTGATAACATGAAGATTCTGTTTCAAGCAAAAAAAAATTCTTATATTCTTGAATTTAAATACATTCTACAGATTTTGCAGTCCTCGGAACCAAACTATTGGTCAGACGAAGAGCGCCTTGATGGCCGAGTCTCGCCACGTAAATAAGCAAATTCAAATCAAATCAAATCAATATCAACGATGTAATATGCTTTGATGATTGTTAAAAGGGTAATACAAGTTGGAAACTCTTTCGAATCAAACTCATTTATTCGTCTTCAGGCTTCTCTGATCCAAACACAGTCGTGCTCTCTGCTTTCTCAACGAAGTTCTAGAAGCGGCCCAAAACTGACCCACGACACCAGAACGAAGCCCGTGACGGTAGGCTGCGCGCAAATATAGAACTCGCGGCCGCCTTCCAGCATCCCTCCCCCGCCTCATCGACGTTTCTCTTCGCCTCCCCCCTCCTAGCTTCCGATCCTGACCCACCCGCTTGCCACCATGTGCCGCCCACGCGCAAACCCCTCGCCCACCCGTCCCCGCCTCCAAATGTCCCATCGCTTTCCCGTTCCCCGCGTCCTGCCCCCCATCCGGCCCACATCCCGACCTTGCGTCCCATCACCGCGCCTCTCGCCCCCACCCCCCTGGTCCCATTCCTGCTCCCATTCCACAACCCCCGTATCCCGGCCCCGGCCACGCCCCTTTTTTGCTCCGTCCACACGCACCAGCCCGCGAGCCACGTCGCCCCCGCACCCCCGCTTCCCCGGTTCGCCCCGCCAGCGCCCCCACCACTCGCGTGCGCATCATCTTCGCGCACAGCGCTCCGCGTCCCCGCCCCCTTCTCATCTCCTTCCCCCACTCCACCCCTCCCAGCGCCAGCACCCCGTTCTGACTCTCACCGCTTCCACCTCGCCCCCGCCTTTCCTTTCGCTCCTCCCCGCGCTCACCCAGCCGTCTGTCGGCCCCTTTCTCGTGCACGAACCAAATAGTTCACGTTGCGTCCTTTTTCGCGGTCAGCCATGTTGCAAGCTTTCGCGAAACTTCATGCAGGGCTTTTCAGAAGAGTTATTCTGTGAATTTCTCGGATAATACAGACTATTCAGAAGGGGAAAGAATTCCCCATAGTGTTTCATTTAATTTGCATGTCGTTCCAAGAAAATGGTCTAATCCAGATAAAAAAACGGGGAACATTTTTGAGAAAATTTTAAAGCGGAACTGTGTTAAAAGAGGGATGCACTTAGCGCAATCGGGACGGGATCGATGGGCCATGTCCCCCCAAAAAGACATAGAGTTCTCGTTTGTTATCTTCGTCTTTGAGTAAAAGTGATTTTTAGAATTATGTGAAAGATTTAATGTTCGAATTAAACGTTGACATATTTTTAAAATTATATGTTTATAGGCATTCCAATATTCTCTTAAGTTTACCATAAGATTAATTGTTACAAATAAAAACATTTTAACCCCCCAAAAAAATCCCCTTCCTCTC